ACAACATCCAGCAGATGAGAGTCCTTTTGGAGAAGATGTTTGAGTCCATGGGAGCAAAACAGGTGAGCATTAACAGGTGTATGCACACACACACACTGATTTCAATCACTTAAAAGGTCAAAATGCTGATTTAAAGACTTTTCCATGAAGTACATGACTGAAAAATGCCAGAAAAAACACTTTTTTCTGTTCAGAAGTGTGAAAGTGAAAAATGGTAAATGGATTTGGTTCATCTATAGCACTTTTCTGCTCCAGCTGAGCACTCAAAGCGCTTTATACAACATGCCTCATTCAAACAAACACTTTTTTCTATGCTTAAGTGTTTTCTTTCTAACATTCACACCCTGATGGATGCATCACAGAGCAACTTTGGGTTAGTATCTCGCCCAAGGATATTTGGCATGCAGAGTGGAGCGGCCAGGGATCACCAATGTTCCAATTAGTAGATGACCTGCTCTATCTCCTGAGCTACAACACCTGTGCAGAACAGAGTGTGTTACAAACGTAGGTTGACCGAACAGACAAAGGGGAACCTTCACTTTACAAACTTAATTTAGGTGCACACTGCAGTCGAATGTGGTCAGCATTCCAGTTCCAGTCATACTCAAAAAGCACATAGGACGAAGGTTTAAAAATCTATCTGGTGGAGCACTGATGCACTGAAAGCTCTATGAGCCACAAAGAAATCCATTTTGTCTGTTGGTGTGTTGAAGTCCACTGCTGGACCTATTTGGGTCGCCTCCCCGTCCTCCAGGTGTGACCTAATTTCTACAATGAACCCATTTGGTATGTATTTGGGTTCATCAGTCACCACAAGGAGAAGCAGCAGAGCTGAACCTTCTGTGGATGCAGGAATCTTTCCTTCTGCTGAGCCTGTGATTGTAGTTTCAAGGTGTAAAAAATACAAAGGTGCAAAAGCTGCAGCAAGTGTGAGCCTGCATGTATATAATCACAGATTTAAGAAGGCGAGAGTTAAGTGTGTGTCTTTTTTTCTGCAGTTAACAGCTGAGGAGGAGATGGTATGTCTCAGTGGGGTTTTGTTTTTGCTTTGCTTCCCTGTGGCTCCACCTCCACCCAAAATGATCTGTTGAGTACAGTAAAACCCACTCCACACCTCTTTCCTGTCATCAAACCTTTTTCCACCTTGCAGTGCGTGTGTCTGTTTTTAGATTGATCCCAATTTACACATAAACAAGAGAACAGCTAGAGCTTCCTCTCCTTCTTCCCAGACTCCCAGTTTTCACTCCTCAAAATCAACTCCAGCTGATATAAATGATGTAGATGTGTGTTTTTAAAAAAACAAAACGTTCTCTTCGTGGTGTTTTTGTTTTTCTCGAAAGCTTGAGAATGAGGAGGAACCCGATGAGTGTGATGAGGAGGTGGGTCGACTTCTTTTTGACTGGTTTGATTTGTTTCTGTTCCCCTGTTGTGTCTGACTGTCGTCGTCGTCGTTGCCTCTTTCTGTGAAAGTCCAAATATTTGCTGTGACAATTATTTTTATTTTTTAATTTAAGATGATTTGAAAAAAGCCCAGTTTATTTTTATTGTTGTGAAGGTTTTTTGATGGGAACAACACAGTTTAAATCAATGGAGTTTACAGCTGTTGCTCATTTTTAACAGTTGATGGCTCTAGTCAGGCTTTTATATGAACAAATAATATACATAATAAACAAACACTTTAAATACACTTACATATTAAATAAAACGATAAATTAAATGGGAAACGTTAAGCCGGATGAACTATACACAAGCAAAAAACCCCAAAAATCCCAAACTGAAAGTTATAGTTCGTTATCCATGTCCTTACTAAACCATAGCAGAGGATTATTTCCTGGTGAGATCGTTCCTTTGTGGGTTTGTCGTTTTCCTTTTTCATATATTTTATGCACCTTCTTTTTATTTCCTTATATTTGGACCAGGCCGTCTCTGACAACGAAGGCGGCGATGACATGGTGGGTAGGCCACAACAGCAGATAAAAAACTCCTGAAATCTACTTTAGTCTGTTTTTGTTATTATAAAATGTTACTTGTGTTTTTTAAATGACCGCATTTGTGTGGGTTTGATCCTTTTTGCTAACAGTCAGTGGAGACCAAGGTGAGATAAGGTTTCTAGGTCACAGCCAACATTTATATTTCATGTAGCTTCCTCAAATGTCCTTTTCTTTCTCTCATTTGTCTCATTTGACCTCATTTTCTTATGTTTCTATTTTAATTTGTCGATGGCAACGTCAGTCTGGCTGCTCAGACTCTGAGGGATCTGAGGTAAGGAGGAGAATATCACACTCTTCCTCAGAGCTGCGA